AAAAAAAAAAAAAAAAAAAAAAAGCTTATTTCTATTTCTAGGTGGTTAAGGAAAATTGAACAGCAATGCTAACAATTTTTTATGAACTGCAACTCAAAGTGAACAAATTTCTCCATGGTTACTGTCTTAACAGTGATGGACCACCAATAAGTGACGTGCACCATGATGCCAAAGAAACAAGCTGTGAAAACAAAACAGGGAGAAAAATAGCTGGGTTAAATTTGAAAACAGAAACAATCACCTAGCTCCATTATGTCTGCAAAAAACAATAGTAAATGGTTTTATACTTGTATAGCGCTTTTCTATGTTTTACAGCACACTCAAAACGCTTTTACACTACTTGGCCATTCACCCAGTCACACTCCCAAACACTCACACATTCACACACCGGTGACATCACCAGGAGCAAATGGGGGCTCAGTGTCTTGCTCAATGACACTTCGACATGTTGACTGGACAAGCCGGGAATTGAACCGCTAATCCTCTCTACAACTGACAGGGCAACGAGTGGAAAAAAATCAAAAGCTCAACCTGACACAGAGTAGCAAAACATCAACGTCTAACAGAGAAAACAGCTCAGACAGGGAGTCAAAAAAAAAAAAAAATAATAATACTTTATTTATATAGCACTTTACAACCCGCAAAAGGAGCACAAAGTGCTTCACGGACACATAAAAAAAACATAACTAGCATAACAGACCTTAAAAACAACAAGAAAAGGACATATCGACAAGATGGATGATAAAACAGCAGCAAAAGAAATATCCAAATTAGTTGTCAAAGGCCTGTCTAAAAAGGTGCGTTTTTAGAGTTGCCTTAAAAGGGGCCAACTCGGTTATGGACCATATTTCTAGAGGTAACGCGTTCCACAGCCTAGGGCCACAACTGCTAAAAGTGCGATCGCCCCATTTTTTGTAACGAGAGTGAGGGGTGACTAGAGATAGGTGGTCTGCAGAGCATAAGGCTCTATAGGGAGAGTAGACAGACACAAGGTCCGAAAGATATGAGGGGGCGAGGCCATTAATAGATTTAAAAACAAATAAGAGCACTTTAAAATCAATTCTAAATTTCACTGGAAGCCAGTGCAACGAGAAGGGAACAGGAGTGATGTGAGCATATGTTGGGTAAAATTATTAACAAAGTTATACTCTAGGATTAGTTCTAACATTTGTTCTAACTCCCTGTCTGAGCTGTTTACTTATTTAGTAGAAGATTGACACCATGATTGTTGCTTATTTAACCTGTATTCACTTTGTTTGTGTATGACTAGTCTATCATATTAGGAAAAAGAATAGCTAAGATTTTATTTTAGAATACATAAGTTCACATACTTGTATGTCACAGTTATGTTTACATAGTTACACATCACCTTACAGTGAGTACGGAAAGTATTCAGACCCCCTTAAATTTTTCACTCTGTGTTATATTGCAGCCATATGCTAAAATCATTTAAGTTCATTTTACACACAGCACCCCATATTGACAGAAAAACACAAAATTTAACATTTTTGCAGATTTATTAAAAAAGAAAAACTGAAATATCACATGGTCATAAGTATTCAGACCCTTTGCTCAGTATTTAGTAGAAGCACCCTTTTGAGCTAATACAGCCATGAGTCTTTTTGGGAATGATGCAACAAGTTTTTCACACCTGCATTTGGGGATCCTCTGCCATTCCTCCTTGCAGATCCTCTCCAGTTCTGTCAGGTTGGATGGTAAACGTGGGTGGACAGCCATTTTCAGGTCTCTCCAGAGATGCTCAATTGGGTTTAAGTCAGGGCTCTGGCTGCCAAAAATTCTATCTTGGTCTCATCAGACCAGAGAATCTTATTTCTCACCATCTTGGAGTCCTTCAGGTGTTTTTTTAGCAAACTCCATGCGGGCTTTC